ATTATTTTATGTAACCCAAGTGCTACCTCTCAGTTAAATAGTTTTCCAGCAGCATCCACAGTACGTTTGACATACGACGAAATGGCATGGTTTTGTCTAAGAACGTGGGGAAAAAAGCTAACATTGGACTGCTAGTCCCATTAAATAGAAATATATGGATCTTAAGTGGGTTTGACCTGTGCTAGATCTATATGCATAGCCAAACGTGGCAACTACTAAACTGCAAACTACCTGGTCTTTCTGTTCTACGTCTGATACTTTGGTTGTTGTTACCAAGCTCATCCTGGAGCAAAGGGTAGCACATAGCTGCCTCTCTCCTGTCTCTCTCGCCGGGAGCCATTAGATTAATGGGAGTCATCTGTGACCTGTGCTGTCCCCAGCACTGGAGCCATGGAAGCCACTAAATGACCAACAAAGACCAAAGTCCCTTTTCCAACCTAAAGCTACGTTTCTGCTTGGTTACTGATTGTGGCTTTGAAGCGTGCTAGGAATTTTTTCAGTGACCTGGTTTTCCATGGCAAAATGTTTCTTGCTGGTTTCGAGACGTGTCTCAATTTTTGCAAACTTCTGGTAGACCATAGGTAAAGCTTCTGATCTAAGTGTGGAAGTTGTACTACCAGCTCATCTATGTGTTTTGAGCGATTTTAGGGCTTGCAGGGTCTTTTCTGTGTAGCTCATTTGACTTCACAGTTTCAGGGTCACGCCATAGTGCATGTTACCAAGGAGTCATAGATCATGGTGTTTTCAAGGTTCTGGGGCACCGGGAGCCCAGAGGAACGAAGAATGAAAGTCTTGGCAATCTCACTGCTGTTTTCCATTGCCAGCAGTAAGAAACAAGCCAGATTACCCTGAAGAATTTAACAATGTAAGGCACTGTGTGTGTTTCATAAAAACCTGCTGTTGCTTTTTCCAAAATCGGTAATAAAATATAGCATGTGCCAATTTATTCCCTTTTTTCCCCACTGTAACTTAAAGTTATATATTACTAGGGAGCAGCTGAAGAAAAAAGACAAACTAAGATGCCTTTTTATTTTTTTCCAGCTACTATAATGCATTCATTCTAGTTCACAAAAGAATAATGAAAATCTGCGTTTCTTATAAGATTAGGGAATATTCTTAAATCCCTTTATTAAAAAACAGGTGATCACTGACCTATTTGCTGACTAGGTAAGCGTACACACTTTTAATAGGCCATTCAGCAGGCCCTTTATGTGCACACTTGGAAATAGTCCTGTCATGTTGTAATAACTATCCATTCAACGTTTAGTTGTAGTTTTAATCAGCACGGCTTTTCCACAACACAGTTTGCAGCACACAGAAATAAAACTCATGTTTATTTGCGCGAATGTGTAGCCATTTCCTCCTCCGAGCCTGCTTTCTCCTCTGTCTTCTTATTTCCCTTCTTCAAGACATTGAATATGATGATTTCCCTCACTGATTGTCTCTGGAAGTTGCTTAACTCTTTGGAGGACAGGATTTGTGTCAGAGCACTGGAATATGAACAGAAGTAGCGGTTATTTCTCTGTTGGCTCTCTTCTGTATTCAGGATAAAATAGTTTGTCTTATTGTGCTGTTTGGAACGTGATTTGAGCTTGACCTAGGAAATTTCTCCACCCAAGAAACAAATTTAGAGTGACTGGGTAGCATCCTCCCTGGGCAAAGGACATGTTTATTTTCTGTTGGGCAAATCTAGAGATGCAGAAGCAGGTTATTGCTGAAGCATAATCAAGGAGCAAAATGCTATAATTGATGCCTGTAAAAAGGATAGTGAAGTGCCCAGGGTTTTAGATTAAGAGCCTGACGCAGCCCTTACAATTAGTATTTCTGTGCAGTTGCATCTTAGTCTGTTTGAATGCCAGGTTTAGGGAACTGTATTAACCATCTTTTTTTCTATGTGAACCATGCAATGTTAAGGCTGCCTTGGGAAAAGGGCTGAGGGAGGTTTCACTTTTTTAAATCATTTGCAGTTCCTTCTATGCTGGTCTTCTGGGCAGCGCCTGTTTACTGTCCATTTGAATTCTGCCTTATTTCTGTTCTAGCTAAGCCCAGTTTTGCTCAACAGTCTTTGTTACATGAATAGCTGTGTCGCTCTGTGGCCATCATTTCATCCATTCTTCACTTAAACAGCTGGATTTTCAGGTCATTTACCCATCTGTACTTTAGCAAGTGAGATAATTTTATGGCATAATCTTGGAGAGAATTAAATATTCCAAAACTTGGAGGAAAAGAACTCACAATTTTTTTACAGTTTCCGTCTCAGGCATTTGTAGGATTTTACATGCATTGATACAGTCGTAAATATTGTCAAAATAATTACTTTCTTTGATATGATATTGTGGTTATAGGGAAACGAAGTACTTCTTGAGAAAAATCTTTTTGGACAAATCTGACATTTTTATTCTTGAGTCACGGCAATTGTTTATTTCTTAACCAAACTTCCTTTCAGCTTCAAGTGGAGATGGACAAGATGTTTTGGGAAAAAAAAGATATTTTAAAAATCTCCCTTATATGTCTTTAAAAAGATATTTTCTTTTTGTTTGGAAAGAAAAGAATACATAGATATTTGGCTATGTGCAGCTTCTGAAGAGCTGGTGTAAAGGCTCCTACTTCTTTTATTTAGTTGCCCAAAGAAGAAAGGAATAAATATCCCGAATCAGATACAGTGTGCTTGGTCTTTGGTAACAAATCATACTGAATGGATCAGATGACATTTTTTGGGCTGTTACAGAATAGTCTGGCCCTAAATTTGAAATATATTTTTAAAATCTGCTTCTGACAGGTATTGATATTTGGCAAAGAAAAAAAAAGAAAAGGTGCACCTTTGAACCCTTTACAGAAGTGCTGTCGAACCAGGGAGTTGCACATTGGTATTAAACTTGCATCTCTAAAGCTAAGCTGTGAAGAGAGGTGGAGTGTTGCAAAGCAAGTAGCAGGAAGTAGTTGGAGGTACACAGTGACAGGATTATCGGTAGAAAGCCAAAAAAGTCCCTTTATCCAGGGGATAACTTTAGGTTTTAAGAAGCTTCACTTTACATGCCTTTATTTTCTCGAGAACTTCAGGAAA